AAGAGTTTGTATTTCAGGTTTGGGTTTGGGTTTTTTTTTTTTTTTTTTTTTTTTTTTTGAGATGGAGTCTTGCTTTGTCGCCCAGGCTAGAGTGCATGGGGGGTGATCTTAACTCACTGCAGCCTCTGTCTCCTGGGTTCAAGCGATTCTCCTGCCTCAGCTTCCCAAGTAGCTTGGATTACAGGCTCTCTCCACCATTCTCGGCTAATTTTTTTGTATTTTTAGTAGAGATTGGGTTTCACTGTGTTGGCCAGGCTGGTCTCGAACCCCTGACCTCAGGTGATCAACTTGTCTCAGCCTCCCAAAGTGCTGGAATTACAGGCGTGGGCCACTGCGCCTGGCCTGTTTTTTGTTTGTTTGTTTGTTTTCTTTTGTTTTGTTTTAAGAAGGTCCCATTCTTGTTGTCCAGGCTGGAGTGCAGTGGTGTAATCATGGCTCACTGCTGCCTCAACTTCCTGGCCTCAATCAATCCCTCTGGCTTAGCCTTTCAAGTAGTTGGGACCACAGGCACACGCTACCATGTCCAGCTAACTTTGTTTTTAAATTTTTCATAGAGATGGGGTCTCACTATGTTGCCCAGGTTTTTCTGGAAATTCTGGGTTCAAGCGATCCTCCTGCCTTGGCCTCAAAGTGCTGGGATTAAAGGCTTAAGCCACTGTGCCTGGTTAGAGTCAGTTTTTTCAGATGTCTTGTTTCTAGCTGTTAAGTATGGATCAGATAGATGTTGAAGCTCTTTGGAAGACTTGGTCAGGATCTGCTTATCAGTCACTTCTGTCAACATCATATTTACTGCATGAAGAATGTTGTACTCTTTCATTCTGTGGCTGCTTTTGCTTGTGCGTTTCAAGATTATGGTACACCAGTGCATCAGTCTCTTCTACTCCGCAGTCCACTGCTGTTGGGTAGAAGAAACTTCTCTCATACAGGTAGAGCAGATGTAATGACTGTGATTAAATTTTAAATCTTTATTTGTTCTCTGAAGATTAATGAGCTAGAAAGTGAAGCAATCATTTTAGAGAGTTTTCAAGTGTAAAATAGTGTCATTCTCTTAAAGGACTTGTTCCCTGCCCCCACTTTTTTTTTTTTTTTTTTTAAAGACGATTTCCAACTCCTGTGCTAAGCGATTCTCTGGCCTCTGCCTCCCAAAGTGCTAGGACTACAGGCATGAGTCACCACGCCTGGCTAATTTTTTTTTTTTTTTTTTTTTTTTGTAATATTTGCTTTTTTTGGTCAATTTTTTTTTTTTTTTTTTTTTTTGGCTTGTTTCTGAATCCAGGTGATTGGCTGGTCTTACTCAAATGGGGTAACCATAACGTGTGTGGTCAGTATGCCAAATTTAAGTATCATTTTACAGATTTATACATAAGATATTTTTAACTGAATGGATAATGCTGTAAGAACTTGTTGAAGCATATTGTTTAATTTTTGACTATTTTTGGTTAAAATTTGTTACTTATGCATATGTTTGAAAGAAAATTCAAATCAATCAAGGATGCCCTTACTGAAGCAGTAAAATTCTATAAGCCTAATTGACAGCCATTTCTCTCTATCATGGGTGTTGACTTTCAGAGTTATAGCAATCTATATTCTTCAGAGTTATATTAATCTGTACAGATTACAGAACTGCTGTAATCTGAGTGACAGTCACTTTGAAAGTTTACATATAATTGGACAAGTTAGTTATAAATGTTACTAAGATTCAGTCTGTCCTCTAACATGCTTACAGAGTTTATGGCTTATCTGTACTTACCTAGGAATGTTAATTGCATAGGACTAAAATGTTTCAAATAGGACTAAGATTATTAGAATTTCTTCTTTCAAAGAGTACAGTGAATACAAACAATTTTTTGAAGCCGTAAGTCAGCTCTTGATGTAATTTTACTTTTTATAAAGATAATCTCTCTTCCTAAGATTCAGAAAAGCCTTTAGTCTTGTTAGCCCTAGCAAACTTTCTGACTTTTAAATTCTTCCAGCTGGGCACGGTGGCAGGTGCCTCTAATCCCTGCTATTGGGGGGGCTGAGGCAAGAGAATTGTTTGAACCTGGGAGGGAGAGGTTGTAGTGAGCCGAGATTGTGCCACTGCAGTCTGGTGACAAAGTGAGACTCCATCTCAAAAAATAAAATAAAAAATAAATTATTCTACCATGCTGTTGTTCTCAATTTGATGTAGCTCTCTGCTGTGAGTCTTCTTGCATATGAACCTTGTATTTCCCAATGTTTATACTATTGCAAATTCTACCCAGGGTATAGTATCTGTAGAAGTAAAGACACAAAAGCTTATGGGGTGTTATATATCTTAAAGATTTAAATTCAGCTTTTAAAGCACTTGACATGTTACTTCTTCTCTTTCAAAAAAATGTAGTCATTGAAAGAAAACCTTGCAAGGTGTTGGACCCTTACGGAAGCAGAGAAGATGTCCTTTGAAACTCAGAAAACTAACCTTGCTACAGAAAATCAGTATTTAAGAATATCTCTGGAGAAGGAAGAAAAGGCCTTGTCTTCATTACAGGAAGAGTTAAACAAACTAAGAGAACAGATTAGAATATTGGAAGATAAAGGGACAAGTACTGAATTAGTTAAAGAAAATCAGAAACTTAAGCAGCATTTAGAAGAAGAAAAGCAGAAAAAATACAGCTTTCTTAGTCAAAGAGAGACTCTGTTGGCAGAAGCAAAGATGCTGAAGAGAGAACTGGAGAGAGAACGACTATTAACTACAGCTTTAAGGGGGGAACTCCATCAGCTAAGTGGTACTCAGTTACATGGCAAGTCAGATTCTCCCAATGTATTTACTGAAAAAAAGGAAATGGCAGTCTTACGGGAAAGACTCACTGAGCTGGAACGGAAGCTAACCTTTGAACAGCAGCGTTCTGATTTGTGGGAAAGATTGTATGTTGAGGCAAAAGATCAAAATGGAAAGCAAGAAACTGATGGAAAAAAGAAAGGGAGCAGAGGAAACCACAGGGCTAAAAATAAGTCAAAGGAAACATTTTTGGGTTCAGTTAAGGACACATTTGATGCCATGAAGAATTCTACCAAGGAGTTTGTGAGGCATCATAAAGAGAAAATTAAGCAGGCTAAAGAAGCTGTGAAGGAAAATCTGAAAAAATTCTCAGATTCAGTTAAATCTACTTTCAGACATTTTAAAGATACCACCAAGAACATCTTCGATGAAAAGGGTAATAAAAGATTTGGTGCCACAAAAGAAGCATCCGAAAAACCGAGAACAGTTTTTAGTGACTATTTACATCCGCAGTATAAGGCACCTACAGAAAACCAGAATAATAGAGGCCCTACTATGCAAAATGATGGAAGGAAAGAAAAGCCAGTTCACTTTGAAGAATTCAGAAAAAATACAAATTCACAGAAATGCAGTCGTGGGCATGATTGTAGAGAAAATTCTCATTCTTTCAGAAAGGCTTGTTCTGGTGTATTTGATTGTGCGCGACAAGAATCCATGAGCCTTTTTAACACAGTGGTGAATCCTATAAAGATAGATGAATTTAGACAGATAATTCAAAGGTACATGTTAAAAGAACTGGATACTTTTTATCACTGGCAAGAATTTGATCAGTTCATCAATAAGTTTTTCCCAAATGGTGTCTTTATACATGATCAGAAGCTCTTCACTGACTTTGTTAATGATGTTAAAGATTATCTTAGAAACATGAAGGAATATCAAGTAGATAATGATGGAGTATTTGAGAAGTTGGATGAATATATATATAGACACTTCTTTGGTCACACTTTTTCCCCTCCATATGGACCCAGGTCGGTTTACATAAAACCATGTCATTACAGTAGTTTGTAACATTTGTAGATTGGATAGCATTTTTATGATTTGATGAGTTTCTTGGAAGGTTACTGTCTCTAAGAGTCGTGCTTTATTGCCACTGAGAGAATTCAGAGTAAATTGAAAGTTAGAGTCTAAAAATTATAGCTGTTACAAATGGAAAATTTCATTATAACGTAATCACTTTGACCTGAGCAAATGATTTAATTTTTATCTTAAAAATCAGTTAAGAATATATAGAATCCTATTTTGGCCAAGTTTGTTTCTTTTCAGTATAGTTTATATGAAAAGATTGCCTTAAGTGAAATTATTTTCCTTTAATCTTTTATGTATTTATTCACTTTCGGAAGCTAGGAGTGAACAACACAAATTTTACTCTGAAGTCAGAAGAGCTCATATGTAATAATTCTAATGTCCTACCTATTTTCACTTGTCCATTCCATGTACCAGCTTAGTTATGATACTTAATACTTAATCACATAATTATCCTTGATAAAGGTAGAGGCACAGAGAGGCAAAGTGAGCAAGTCAGATTCTAATGTGTGTACCAATTTTTTTATCCATTTTCATCTTTATATTCTGTAACATGAAACTTACCTGATCTTCAAATGTTAGTTTCACTTTTTATCTTTGAAATACTTACCTTTTTGAATAAATATAAGGTGTCTATAAAATAATGAGACTGATTCTGGTGTCTTTAGTCATTAAGCAGGTATCTAGTCTTATAATGAACAAAGGTGAGGCTGCCTTGAGGAGACAGTGAAGAATTTTTGCTTTAAAGGAGCTCACAAGCTAAGTAAATAAATAAAATTAAGGTATGGGGGCATGGTGGCCTCAGGCTGTCTGGAAATGTTTGGAAAAGCTTCTTGAGTGAGATGGCCTTTGAACTGTGAACTAGTTTTTAAACTAGCTTTTGCAAGAGAAATGATAATTTACTATGCAGACAGGGAAGGGGATTTTACTTAAAAGGAAGGACATTTGGAGATATGAAGATACGCTACTTTAAGGAAGCAGGGTAGTGCTGGAGGATAAGAGATGCAGACCATGAAGGGCCCCATTTTATGCTAAAGGTTTTGTCCTGTAGGACATGGAGAACCTCTGACGAATTTTCAAGGCTAATAGGATAAGATTATATTGTATTGTAGATTACAGTAGTCCCCCTTTATCTTCAGGATATATGTTCCAAGACCCTCAGTGGATGCTTCAAACCAGGGATAGAACAGAATTCTATATAGAATGTGCATGAATTTCTTTTTCCTTTTTTACGATCTCACACATAGGTTTGTTCTTACCATGGATCTTACCAACCTCAGCATACTTTTGTCTCCCTTATTGAGAATGTTCACCCTTTCACTTAAAGGAAGCATTTTATAGTTTCTCTTTGGCATATCCAAATTGCCAGCATCACTATTATTTTGGGGTCATTTTTAAGTTTCTTAATCATAATTATCTTTATCTTAGGGATACCTGAACACAAGCACTGTGGAACGATAACAGTGTATCTGATCAACAGACAGCTGCTAGGTGATTGAGGGGTGGGTAGCGTGGATACTGGACAATGGGATGATTCACATCCCATGTGGGATGGAGCAGAACTGCCTTATTTCATCACATTACTCGGAACAGGCATATAACTTAAAACTTATGCATTATTTCTTATTTTATTTTATTTTATTTTATTTTATTTTTTTGGGGATGGAGTTTCGCTCTTGTTACCCAAGCTGGAGTGCAATGGCGCGATCTCGGCTCACTGCAACCTCCGCCTCCTGGTTTCAGGCAATTCTCCTGCCTCAGCCTCCTGAGTAGCTGGGATTACAGGTATGCGCCACCATGCCCAGCTGATTTTTTGTAATTTTAGTAGAGACGTGGTTTCACCATGTTGACCAGGATGGTCTCCATCTCTTGACCTAGTGATCCACCCACCTCGGCCTCCCAAAGTGTTGGGATTACAGGCGTGAGCCACCGCACCCAGCCTTTTTTTATTTTTATTTGTTGAGACAGAGTCTTTGTCACCCAGGCTGGAGTGCAGTGGCGTAATCTCAGCTCACTGCAACCTCTCTCTCCCGAATTCAAGTGATTCTCCTACCTCGGCCTCCTGAGCAGCTGGGACTACAGGTGCGAGCCACCACATCTGGCTAAATTTTATATTTTTAGTAGTGATGGGGTTTCACCATGTTGGCCAGGCTGGTCTCTTAACTCCTAAGTGATCCGCCCATCTCAGCCTCCCAAATTGCTGGGGTTACAGGGGTGAGACACTGCCCCTTGCCTAAAACTTAAGAATTATTTATGAAATTTTCTATTTAACATTTTCAGACCACAGGTGACCACAGGTAACTGAAACCTGAAACCCAGAAAGTGAAGCTGTGGATAAGGTGGGACTACTGTATTGAGAGCAGCTTACAAGATTGACAAGAAAGGTGTGAAGCTAGAAGGTGGTCAATATACTATAGATATGAGCTGTTTAGATGAGCATCTAAACTTGGAGAATAGTAGTAGGGGAGGAAAGGAGAAAACATTTGGAGAATAGATAGTAACATTGGTATTTCTTGTGAAAGACAAGTAGAAAGTAACAGTGACTTCTAGATTTCTGAGTTGGGTCATCTGTTGGATAGTAGTATCACTGTGATAGGGAATTCAAGGTTTGGGTTAAGGGTAATTGGAGATGAGAATTGTGTTTGGAAGTAACTACAGACATTCAAGTGGGAAGGGTTAGTTGGCAGTTAGTGTTATGGTCATCTCTTTTGCCGAGACTGTATATTTATTAGACTCCTGGGAGAACACCAACATCTATGAGGTTGTAGGGAAGGCTAAGTAGGGAGTAGCCTCATGAAAATCCAAAGGCTATCTCAAGTAAAAGGGATATTTATATGTGTCATGCTTTTTAAAAAGTCAATGTGTGAAAAATGATTCTTGGCTTGGAAATTGGGCAGCCCAGGGTATGGCAGTATGGACTTCCAGTGAAGTAGTGACAGAAGCCTGATCATAGACATTGAAGAAAGCGGGTGTAGGTCTTGTGAACTTTTGCTGTGAGAGAGAAAAAGTTGAGACTTTTGTTTTGCTTTGTTTGTGAGACATGGTTTGTATTTCTGCTGAGTGATAAAGCCAATAGGGGGGGATTGATTTCTCCAGGAAAGGAAAAAAAAAGTAATGGAAACATCTCATTATTTTATTGTCACATTTCTTTTCTTTGTTATCTGTTGAGTGTTTCCCTTTTTTGCCAGTAGAGTTACTATTTTTTTCTTTGTATAGGACAAAAACTATAATATGGACTCCTTTATTTTTTATATGGATATACTAGGATTATAATTAAGATATTTAATATCTTTTTTCAGAGTGTTCAGATAGTAGATTAATGGAGAAAAACAGTTAAAATTGTTTTAAATTTAAATAAATTGAACTCTAACATAGATGAAAAATGTGTTTACTGCTTTCAGTCGACCTGATAAAAAGCAACGTATGGTAAATATTGAAAACTCCAGGCATCGAAAACAAGAGCAGAAGCACCTTCAGCCACAGCCTTATAAAAGGGAAGGTAAATGGCATAAATATGGTCGCACTAATGGAAGACAAATGGCAAATCTTGAAATAGAATTGGGGCAATTGCCTTTTGATCCTAAATACTGATTCACAATTGAGTTAAGCTAGACAACTATAAGAGAAACATGTATGCTTTGTACAATGTTTGGTATTGGAACTAACGAAATTATCAAGATGACAATGTCTTTTTTTGTTTCTAAGTCTCAGTTTGATAACTTTATATTATTACTCAGAAGCATTAGTTAAAAGCCTACTAACCTGCATTTTCCTGTAGTTTAGCTTTGTTGAATTCTTTTTGACACTGGAAATGTTCAACAGTAGTTTTACTAAGGAAGCCAGGCATGTAACAGATTTTGTGCATGAATTGAGACTTCCTTTCAGTGTAAGAGCTTAAAGCAAGCTCAAATCATACATGACAAAGTATAATTAACACTGATGTTTGTGTGTTAAATTTGCAGTAGAGCTTGAGAAAAGTACATTGTGCTGGAATTTCATCTTTAACATTTTATAATCTTACACTTGCTTCTTGTCTTTATGTGGGTTCAAGAGCCCACTGACTTTTGAAGAATTTGCTGCCCTCTTAAGAGCTTGCTGACTTGTTTTGTGAAATTTTTTGAACATCTGAATATTGTGGAAGAAACAATAAAACTACACCATGAGGAAAACTGAAGGTCTTTATTTAAAATCTGGCATTGTATTAACGTGATTTTCTACTACGTAGTATTTTATACATTTCCTCAGTAGTGATATTTGGTAAAGCAGTTCATATAGTTTTTCCTAAGTTCCATGAATCTTACCCAGTGTTTACTGAAATATTGAAGCCGCATCTGAGTATTTCCACCCAGCAATGTTAGTTTATCTCAGAAAGTTCAGAATTTCATCTTGTTGAATTTCCCTGTTAACTTCCGTTCATAGACATATACATGACTTCCAATTCGACCCTCCGGCAAGTGAGTGTGGAAGAAAACAGCAGTTCTGTTATAACTGCTTGATGTTAGGAAAGCACTTATTTCCTAGAAGCAAATAAATGTTTAAGTAAATAAAGGCTATGTTTTGCTGAATACTGTTTCAGTGAATTTTAGAATTGCTTATTCTAATTGCTCTCTACAACTTTATGCTTAATAAAAGAATTAACTTACAGGAAGTAAAATACCTTATAATTATAGAACTGGGGCTTATTTTGACTGGAGAAAAGACTCATCATGAAATGTGGGATGAAACAGACCATAAAAAAGGTTATATTGTCTATTTACCTGAGGGTTTCCTAAACCTGGGGTAAAATAAAAATACTTGAGTTTTCTTCTTTTTCATGTTTACTTACCTCCTCCAAAATGCTGAAGATGATCAAGTGAGTAGGTAATGATGCATCGTCATGAAACTCTCTTTGTAACCAGTTTAAGGGATTTAGGTAAAATATATCTGCTTCATCAAGATACTGACTTTTTCCAGTCAGGTCTGGGGGGCATTGGAGAAATCTCATTGGAAGTGGGCAGTGAACATGGCTATGAAAAGAAAAGTTACCAGAATAAACACAAGTAAAAACTGAAAGTTGTCATTAGTCTTAAGATACCTCATTTATACTTAGCAAAATGTGAAATCGGAATCTGTAACTGTGTTGCAGTTAAGTGAAGAAGCAAGCCTTTAACTCATTTTCTCAAAGATAAAATATGTGGTTCTCATACCACGTAAACTGTGCAGCAGCAGCATAACGTATAAGCCCAAACTAATGGGTAAAACTCCATTTCAAGGAGGGAAGTAGGTCAGGTGGGGGACGCAACATTCTGTAACATTTGTATTCTGTTCCAGAAACGTAAAGGTCTTCAGGACCAGGTAAGTTAACTTGTTAATAAGACAGTAATTCTCCATAGGCTTTTTTGGTAAAGTAGGAAACTGTGATCCTAACCAGAAAGGATTCTTTCTTCCCTTTCTGCTCTAATACGGGATGGATCACATCTTTACATGGCAAGTTTTTCTAAGATTTAGAAGTAGAGAGCAACATATATGTCCATTGATTAACATCCAAATAAGTAATGGTTTTATTGTGGCATAGAAAGATAGACTGCCCACGAGAGGCAGTGGCTCGTGCCTGTAATCCCAGAATTTTGAGAGGCCAACGTGGATGGATCCCCAGAGGTCAGGACTTTGAGATCAGCCTGGCCAACATGGTGAAACCCTGTCTCTACTAAAAATACAAAAATTAGCCAGGCATGGTGGTGTGTGCCTGTAGTCCTAGCTATTCAGGAGGCTGAGGCAGGAGAATTTCTTGAACCCAGAAGACGGAGGTTGCAGTGAGCACTGAGATCACATGCCACTGCATTCCAGCCTGGGCGACAGAGCAAGACTCTGTTTCAAAAAAAAAAAAAAGATTAGATTATTAAAAAGATGGATTCATTTCTAATACTAGTCATGACAACTTAAGCCAGTTACTTAGGTCATGCAAAAAGTCATGTTTATAATGCCTTGGGAAAGGTTAAACCTCACTGATAGAAACATTTAAAATTTCCAATTAAAATGAAGTTAATAGTTACGCAGGAGGTTTATTTATGAAATGCATACAAATTAAATGTACACAAGACCTAATAGGGACTTATTTATTGGAAGTGAAGGTCTTGTTTCAAAGGGAAGTAGAAATTCCTGAGAAAAGACTGCTTGCTTTATATTGTAAAATAGGCATCAGAGTTTTTCTTCTATTTGTGTGCTTTGAAAAGGTGTTGAGAACTTGGTGAACTGTACAAAACCTAAGACATCAACTAACTACAACTATGTATAAAGAACATCTTGGTACCTTTAGGATTCCAGCCCTCCACAGTATTACCCCTAATGTGAGCACGGAGAGTGAATGTCCCTTTCTCAGACATATAAACACATATAGTAGGGAATCCTCAAGTTGAAAGGATACTTGATGCCTTCCACTTAGACTGGTTTTTGCTAGGATCTCAATTTTTCTAAGTTGTATATTAATGATTGGCATTCATGATCAGTTAAGTAGGAGTATTCCAGGTGTTAACTTCCCCTAAGGTGATAACCACAGTGATTAAATTAATTGAATGTGCATATGAGATATTAACTCCAGATCGTTTAAAGCCAGACTGAGTTAAATAGATAGAGGATTTTCTTTTTTTCTTTTTCTTTTTTTTTTTTTTTGAGGCAGAGTCTTGCTCTGTCACCCAGGCCAGAGTGCAGTGGTACAGTCTCGGCTTACAGCAACCTCCACCTCCTGTGTTCAAGTGATTCTCCTGCCTCAACCTCCCTAGTAGCTGGGACTATAGGAACACACCACAACACGCAGCTAATTTTTTTGTATTTTAGTAGAGATGGGGTTTCACTCTAGCCTGTTGCCCAGGCTAGTCTCAAATTCCTGAGCTTAGGCAATCCACCTGCCTCAGCCTCCCAAAGTGCTAGGATTACAGGCATGAGCCACTGTGTTCGGCCTGGTATAGAATTTTCTATGGGAAATCTGGCTGCTTTGCCCCTGTACCATTACTGGGTAATTGGTAACACAGCTTTATGAAATACAAGCACAGAACCAAATGGATGTCTTTTTAAATGCCATACGTAGTTGAGGCAATTTTAGTATACTTAATTCAAGCTTTAGAATATCATCTTGTTGCATTCCTTAAATTTTACAGGTGAGACAACTGGTGTCCAAAGAGATTAAAAATCTAGTTTAAAAGGAGGGCAATAGTCCAGTAGTAAATCTGGACTGAAATCCATGTTTTAAGATTAATTCAAATTGTGTAAGGATGTATCATAGAGATGTGTAGTAAGGTAAGTCATAAATGAGTTTCTTTACTAGGAAGACTATCAAATACCTACAGATTGTTTTAAATCAGAATTAAGTGTAGGTAAATTGTTTTTAAAGAATAATAAAGTTTATTTAAAAGATTTTCATTGATACAGTTCAAGTGGTTTTTAAAATCCACCAGTGAATAAATATGAGAGTTTAAAATTTATCATTTGATCAACGACCAATTAATTCAAATCCCGGAATCTGAAAGGGAATTTTAAAGTAGTTTCAGTTTCTTAATAGCATATAGTGGAACATCTTTTATTACCTGTAATAAGGAGTAGAGTGGCAAGGCATCATTACAAATACTGAAGCTGAAGGTTTATTGGGATTGTTGTAACAAACTTTTTGAACATGACTCATGACATCAAGAGTACCTCGTTGATGAACTAAACCAGTATAAAGGGCGAGGAACAAATTTGATAAAAACAGGAAACTTAGAGCTGGTTTCTTCCATGTTTTCAGGTGGGTTAGTGAGTATCCTATATGAAGACAGACATATTGAACCTTAACACTGACAGCCTTTTGTTTTCTTATGTTAACTGCAAATACATCTGTAATTTTTAATGGAAATAGCACAAACTGTAATATTGTAATAGACAAGGAATAAGCAATAATTCATAATCTCTCTGACTGTTCACTACTGTTGTCATCTAGGTCTTGACTTTTTCTAAGTAAAAAGTATTGAGATATAGTTGAAAAATTTTGGTTATGGAGTCCAACAGGTCCAGATCTGAATTCCAGTTCTAGCACAAGTTGTTTTACTTTGCTGATCATTAGGACAATAGTACCTTTTCCAAGTATTAGAAAAAATGTCCACTGCCTATCCTGGTACATAGTGGTTGCTAAATAAATAGGACTTTTAATTATTCCATTTACCTACATCTTTAATCTCCCTAACACTAGTAATTGGTATTTTTGTGTGTAATACAAGTTTCAGTAATGTGTCCTCTTAGGAAGGCTTAGGAAAATAAGCCATTGGGCACCTGGGAGGTTTTCCTTAAGTATATGAGTGGAAGAAAAGGTGCTATGTCTTTTTTTTTTCCACTACAATGTCAGGCAATTTGGAGATACTAAATACTTTTCCTTTTTTGATTTATGAAAGTGATTATTCAGTGGGGCAAAACAAAACAAAAAACCAAAGGAGAAAACCAAGTAGAATGAATAGAAGGGTATAAAAGGATAAGTAAAAGTCTCTCTCCCCTCCTTTTCTCCAACAACAGCCACTGTTAATGGACACATTAGGATCTCTGAGAATACCAAGAACAGGCTTTGCCACTGGAAATGAATGAGCTTATTAGTAAGTGTGACATTTTGTTCATAATTTACATACACTCTTTGTATAGAACTAGATAATAGTTCTTTTGGAACTTGGGTATTCTTCATCCAAACCTTGGTTTGCCCAAAATGTTAGTACTAATACCCAATGGGGTCAAGGCAGTGTTTTAACTTTAGTTCCTCCTCTGTGATGTTAATAACCTCCACAGTTCATACTACTTATGAGCTGGAATGTCACATATCCATGTCACCCAGTACTTTTTAAGCTACTTGAAATAGTTCTGATTCATCAAAGAATAATCTGAAAAGTGGTGTAATGAAGAATGTAGCAAGATCAAGAAAACTAAGCCTATCACTTAAATCTACATTTATAAGATGTTTGAAATGGTAAAATGAGGAACCTACTAAGAGGGTTGAGAATTAGAATAAGCTTTATTTGAAATAAAATAGCTGAGATGGGAGGATTGCTTGAGGCCAGGAGTTCAAGACCAACCTGGGCAAAATAGTGAGACTCTATCTCTACAAAAAATAGAGCAAAATTAGCGAGGCATGGTAGTGTGCAACTGTAGTTCTGGCTACTGGGAAGGCTGAGGCAGGAGGTTTACCTGTGCCCATGAGTTTGAGGGGACAGTGAGCCATGACCGTGCCAGTGCACTCCAGCCTGGGTGACAGAGTGAAACCCTGTCTCTATGAAGATAAAAATAAAATAGGGCCAGGTGCAGTAGCTCACACCTGTAATCCCAGCAGTCTGGGAGGCTGAAGCGGGCGGATCACTTGAGGTCAGGAGCTCAAGGCTAGCTTGGCAAACATAGTGAAACCCCATCTCTACTAAAAATACAAAAATTAGCTAGGTGTGGAGGCACACACCTGTAATCCCAGGAGGCTGAGGCAGGAGAATCACTTGAACATGGGAAGCGGAGTTTGCAGTAAGCTGAGATCACGCCACTGCACTCCAGCTTGGGCAACACAGCAAGACTCTCCAAATAAATAAATAAATAATAAAATAGGATTCTAAAAGTTCAACTATCTGTAATAACTCCAAGCACAGATACAGCAGACCCTCAAATATAAATTGAAGCACTTGGGTTGGTAGGCTAAAACAAATCCACTTTAGTAGGCTCACAAAAAGCTATATTAAAGCCTTGTCTTTGTCTGTATTGCTATAATGGAATACCTGAAGCTGGTTATAAAGAAAAGATGTTGGGCCGGGCAAAGTGGCTCATGCCTGTAATCCCAGCACTTTAGGGGGCCAAGATGGGCGGATCACCTGAGGTCGTGAGTTCAAGACCAGCCTGACCAACATGGAGAAACCCTGTCTCTACTAAAGTTACAAAATTAGCTGGGCATGGTGGCGCATACTTGTAATCCCAGCTACTTGGAAGATTGAGGCAGGAGAATTGCTTGAACCCGGGACGCAGAGGTTGCAGTGAGCCTAGATTGTGCCACTGCACTCCAGCCTGGGAGACAGAGCCAGACTCTGTCTCAAAAAAAAAAAAAAAAAAAAAAAAAGATGTTTACTTGGTGCATGGTCCTGCAGGCTGTACAAGAAGCATGATACCAGCATCTACTGGTGAGGGCTTCAGGCTGCTTCCACTCATGGCGGAAGGTGAAGGGCAGCCAGTGTGTGCAGAGATCACATGGTGAGAGAGTAGAAGCAAGAAAGTGGGGGAAGGTGACTGGCTCTTTTTAACAGCCGGCACACGGGAGCTCAGTACCCCAGGATGGTACCAACCCATTTGTGAAGGACCCGCCCTTATAATTGAAGCACCTCCCGTTAGGCCCCACCTTCAACAATGGGAATCAAATTTCCACATAAGGTTTAGGAGACAAACATCCAAACTACAGCAAGCCCATCCTACAGCAAGGCCTTGGAAGATAACAGCTTGTTCTCAATTATTTGAAGATACAAGGTGAGCATATGTAAAGTGATTTACTTAATAATTTGTTTATTAAATGTTAATCGAAAATTTTATTAGAAACTATGGGACTGGGCCAGGTGCAGTGGCTCACGCCTGTAATCCCAGCACTTTGGGAGGCTGAGGCAGGCAGATCACAAAGTCAAGAGATCAAGACCATCCTGGCCAACATGGTGAAACCCTGTCTCTACTAAAAATACAAAAATTAGCTGGGTGTGGTGGCGCACACCTGTTTTCCCAGCTTCTCCAGAGGCTGAGGCAGGCGAATTGGTTGAACCTGGGAGGTGGAGGTTGAGTGAGCCGAGATTGAGCCACTGCACTGCAGCCTGGCGACAGAGTGAGACTCTCAAAATAACTATGGCACTAGGAATACAATAGTATAGGTGGGTGATACAAAATGGGAATACTTGGTGATAAAGACTGTGAAAATAGTACTCTGGGTAAAATGCTGGAAGATAACATGCTTGTGTTTCCAGCATCTTTAGTACTGGTGAGACAGGGCGTCTCTTAAATTAGGTAATGTTTGTCTTACATGATGATTTTAACTCTGAGCTTAGCTCATTTTATGATGGATCATTTTAGTGAGAACTGAATCTCCATATTACTTAGAGAAGTAATATGAAGAAAATGCTGGGAAGAGAAGGAATAGCTGAACACTGCCAAGGAGAATCAGGTGGTAGCTTAGTTTTCTGGGGGACAGTGGATACTGTAACAGTTGGCATTATTTTTTGAGATGGAGTCTCGCTCAGTTGCCCAGGCTAGAGTGCAGTGGCACAATCTTGGCTCACTGCAACCTCCACCTTTCGGGTTCAAGCAATTCTCCTGCCTTGGCCTCCTGGGTAGCTGGGATTACAGGTGCCTGCTGCCATGTGCGGCTAATTGTATTTTCAGTAGAGGTGGGGTTTCACCATGTTGGCCAGGCTGGTCTTGAACTCAGGTGATCTGTCCACTGCAGCCTCCCAAAGTGCTGGGATTACACATGTTAGCCACAGCGCCCACCCAGAACTGCCTTTATTTACATAAATGTTTAGTGTTCTATGAGCATTACTAAGCATTTGACGTATAGAGATGAAGTCTTTATAATTTCAGTTACAAAATGACTTGTGCACATGTTAGAAAAGAACCCAACTTTGGAGTATAAGTCAAGAGGCTTGAATTTAAAGCTTCTGAAGGGTTTTTTGTTTTGACCTTCTGGCATTGAAACCTTCCGAAAGGGATTTCAGAGATGAGTTGCTAAAGGAAGGGTTGGGAAGATACTTTCCAGTTCCAATGCTAGAACTGAGTGAACCACAAGAGAAGCCTAAGGTCCATGGTTTTTTTTATAGGCAAGTAGTATTGTTTCATCAATATTTAAAAGACACAATGAACAAGATTCCAGTAGGTGACATCCAGTAAGTCTATTTAATGGCACGCACAAGTTTGGAGATGAGTTCTCACTGAAATAATCCACCCTCAAGTGACCTAGCTTCAGAAAGTCATCACCCCCACCATGTAAATGATGTGTTACTTAACTTAAAATATGAAACTTCCCCAGTCACTGAAGATTTAAGACTTTGCATGAACCCCAGTAACTGTAGTATAGATTCCTTCCTTTCACATGGTAACTGAACCCATTGCTAACTGGATGCTAAACATCATCCCTAAATACTTAATTTGCTCTTGTTATCTGGGCCTACAAAAAGATACCTGAAAGAGGGTATAAAGAAAACTTCTGGAAGAACTGCTTAAGAAAGTGATAACAGTTACCTCTGGGGAATGGGGCTAGATGACTTGACGATGACACACTATTTATTTTTGTACCATCAGCATTTATTTTTATAATAAAAAAATACATTGGGCTCCTATCAGATCACGTTCTTCAGATTACTGTTAAATAAGTGTTTAAAATCCATTAAATCTCAGTTTACTCTTCAGGATAAAATCTGATAGATATCATTATATCTCAGTTTTATCTACTCTTCAGGATAAAATCTAAAAACGTGAGTATATAAGAAGATACTTCATGAGGTGGCTCCCTTATAAAGCCATTTCTCTTAATCATCACATATTATTTAGGTCGATATATACACTTTAAAAATTTTGGATATCTAGTGTGGCACTCTGTATTTTCCAGAAATGACTAATAAGCTCCTTCTTACCAAGGTAAGGTTCACAATAATAGAGGGGATGGGAATATCTGAGGCTGAACATTACTGATTCCATCCTGGTTTCGGCAAGAATTATCAGGAAACCTACTGTTAAGAAAAAAACCGCTACCCCATTCTACCAATTAGAGATATATCTGAGTTATTCTTTTCATTTTTAGATACTCTTTGAGAAAGCTTAGTTCGTGTTTAGATGAGAACCACAAAAGGTGGTTCAATTCTGGAATGGGACATGATATAGAAGAATGGGGCTGGGAAAGAGAGACTTTGAACTATTAACCATAATGAGGGTAGTTGGCACAGATGAAGGTATCAGGAAGAATTTTTTTTCCCTTTTTTTTTTTTGAGCCCGAGACTGGCTCTGTCACCCAGGCTGGAGTGCAGTGGTGTGATCTCAGTTCACTGCAACCTCTACCTCCTGGGTTCAAGTAGTTCTCCTGCCTCAGCCTCCTGAGTAGCTGGGATTATAGGTGCACACCACCACACCTGGCTAATTTTTGTATTTTTAGTAGAGCTGGGGTTTCACCATGTTGGCCAGACTGGTCTTGAACTCCTGACCTCGGCCTCCCAAAGTGCTGGGATTACAGGTGTGAGCCACCACGCCTAGCCAGGAAGAATTTTATATTGCTATTTTGTTAAGGAAGTAAAGCCGTATTTTCATCTTCCATAGAATTCAATAGTTAATGCCTAAATAGTTTTAATGCCTAAGTAGTTAATGCCTAAAACTATTCAGGAATTAAGTGGTATTATAAACATTTTAGAGATATTGAGATAAATACCAATATAACCAGCTGAAAGAATATTTAAGTGATTGCTTTTGGGGAGAGAAATAGAAGGGAGAGCAGGGGAACCACTGTTTTCAAAAACTCCTTCTGGAATGACTAATGTACGTATGCAATTTTGATAAAAGGATTAGAATATGGAGCCAGGCACAGTGGCTCACGCCTGTAATCCCAGCACTTTGGGGAGGCCGAGGCAGGTGGATTACTTGAGGT